TCAAACTAGTACAATTGAACTTAAATTAGTCCAACTGAAGTCAAATTAGTACAACAGTAAAATTGTATAAATGCATGACATTTGTTTTTCATTGTACCTTTATGATTATAATGACTAAAATTGTATAAATGCATGACATTTGTTTTTCACTGTACCTTTATGATTATTATGATTTCGTATGTCATATAAATACATATTTATATACTTATATATTTTATTTAATTTTATAAGAATCATTGATAAAATATATATTGGTTATTAAAATTATTCTTATTTTAATCTAAAAAATATTGATTAATATTTCATTTTATTTCGGTTGTATAGCTCTTTTAGTCGGCTGTTACTAGCTGTTTTTCATGACTGTAAATATTTGTTATGTATTCAATCTTATTCGTAGCAATTTTCATAATATTTTTTTTTTTTAATTTTTCACTCAACATTTTCAAATGTGGATATTTAAAAGGTCAAACGATCAATTAGAAAACTAAAATTATAATATTACTTGTTATATCCACTTCTCATTTACTTTGATTATATTTTATAGTTCAATTTATTAATCATGTATACATTTATATAATTATTTATTTTAATTTATTAGGTATGGATGACTTCATTCTAAGTATTACATCTCTCAATTGAGCATTCAACCAAGCCAAGAAACGTGGCCTTAGGGTCTGTGGGATCATACTATCCAACCCTTCTAATCCTGATAAGACAATCGAGGGGATATGACTAATTATATCACTAATAAGACAATTGAATGATCAATGTTCAGCTTTGATAAATATATGTATTCAATTTTATCTAGAAAATGTTCATCTCATTCTAAACGATGTTCAGCTTGATCTGAAAGATGTTCAAATTAGATGTGTTGTCGACAAAAACTAGTAAAAAAGGAGCTAATTTAACATCTAAGAAGATAATAAATGTGTTCATCTTATAATTTAAAATATTCAGCTGATAATAAAACATATTCATCTTATAACATAACATTTTCATCTTATAATTTGATATGTTCATTTTACAAAGAAACATATTTATCATGTTAAGAAACATATTACATACAAAATCAACATATACATCTTGTACAAAATCAACATATTCATCGTGTTAATAAACACGTTCATCTGAGAAAGAAACATGTTCATTTTATAATTTAACATATTCAGCTCATAATAAAACATATTCATATTATAACATAACATGTTCATCTTATAAGTTGACATGTTCATTTGACAAATTAATAAATATTACTGAAACAGCTATCTTATTTGTTAGGATAGCTATGCGCAAATAAACTCTCAATTTATTAAGAAACCATAAATCATTTAAGAATCTTAAGATATTATCAATAAATAAAATATTTAATACATTAAATTTGAATTCTCACTATTTATTTATCGACCATCTTGAAAATCAGTGACTCAAATAAAGTGATAATAATTAAGATACCATGATATTTTTCAGTTAATTATTGAATGACAAAGTTCAAATATTTTACGTCTTAGAATTTAACATATTCAACTGATAATAAAAATATTCATCTTATAATTTGACATGTTCATTTTACAGTAAAACATATTCATTATGTTAAAAAACATCATACGTACAAAATCAACTTATTCATCGTGTTAATAAACATGTTCATCTGAGAAATAAACATGTTCATCTTATAATTTAAGATATTCAGCTGATAATAAAACATATTCATCTGGTAGCATAAAATGTTCTTCTTATAAGTTGACATGTTAATTTTAGAAATTAAATAAATATTATTGAAACCGTTATCTTATTTCATAGGGTAGTTATGCGCAAATAAACTCTCAATTTATTAAGAAAACCATAAATTATTTAAGAATCTTAAGATATTGTCAGTAAATAAAATATTTAATAAATTAAAATTTTAATTCTGACTGTTTATTTAGCGGCCATCTTGAAAATCAATGACTCAAATAAAGTGAAAATAATCAAGATATCATAATATTTTTTAGTTAATTATTGAATGAAAAAGTTCAAATATTTTAAGTCTTTTAATTTAACATATATTCAACTGGTAATAAAACATATTCATCTTATAAGATAACACCTTCATCTGATAATTTGACATGTTCATTTTACAATGAAACATATTCATCATGTTAAAAAACATATTACGTACAAAATCAACTTACTCATTGTGTTAATAAACATGTTAATTTGAGAAAGAAACATGTTCATCTTATAATTTAACATATTCAACTGATAATAAAATATATTTATCTTATAAAATAGCATGTTCATCTTACAAAGAAACATATTCATTTCAAAAATTAAATAAATATTACTGAAACAATTATCTTATTTGATATGATAAAACAGGCATCGGACTATGCAGAACCGGAGCTGAACCGTCACGCAATTTGATGACCCACCCCCGATTCTTTTTTTATCTTTCTTGAATGGAATGGAAAGTAAGGGTCAATTTGATTGTGGGGCCGTATGCAATTTCAGTTTAAAACTCATGTACTAAACCTCTTTGGTTAACCGGAAAAAGTGGGATAGAGTCAATTAGGTGGTCTGTGGACTTTTGTTGCTCTGCATGGTGCTTTTGGGCTAATAGGTTTCATGTTACGTCAATTTGAGCTTGCTAGTTATACGCAAATAAACTCTCAATTTATTAAGAAACCATAAATCATTTAAGAATTTTAAGATATTATCAATAAATAAAATGTTTAATACATTAAAATTTTAATTTCACTATTTATTTAGCGGTCATCTTGAAAATCGGTGACTCAAATAAAGTGATAATAATTAAAATATCATGATATCTTTTAGTTAATTATTGAATGCAAAGTTCAAATATTTTAAGTCTTTTAATTTAACATATATTCAACTGATAATAAAACATATTCATCTTATAAGATAACACCTTCATCTGATAATTTGACATGTTCATTTTACAATGAAACATATTCATCATGTTAAAAAACATATTACGTACAAAATCAACTTGTTTATCGTGTTAATAAACATGTTCATATGAGAAAGAAACATGTTCATCTTATAATTTAACATATTCAGCTGATAATAAAACATATTCATCTTATAACATTACAAGTTATAAAATCATTTTATAGTTCCAAGTTATAGTTCACCACCCGCTCAAGCGCTTGCCTGAAGGGACTTTGCGGAAGGCAGTGCAGATTACAGAGTGCAGATTACAGACTGCCTGATCAGCAATTTCCCGGGCCAGATCACGGGCCCGGTCAATACCCCCACGGTTCTTGACTAAATCAATGGCCTTTTCAAGCGAGCCCGACTCGGAAAATTCGGTCTCGATTATGTCCCTCAGCCGCATCTCCTTTTCCAGGGTGAAAATAACAGGGGCAGTCAAAATACCCTTTGCCAGGTCACTCCTGGCAGGCTTGCCCAGCTGCTCGGCCGACTGGGTGAAGTCCCAAATGTCGTCAACGACATGAAAAGAGAGGCCGAGGTTCTTTCCGAATTGGTACATCTGCTCGGTTATATCAGTATGGACCGAGCTGAAGATGGAGGCTCCTTTGGTGCTAGCGGCTATTAGGGAAGCTGTTTTGTAGTAACTCTTCATTAGGTACTCGTCAAGCTGGAGATCACAGTCGAACCGGCTGGACGCCTGTTTTATTTCGCCACGAGCAAAGTCATTGATGACCTGGCTTATGAGCTTGATAACTTCGAGATTTTCAAGATTTGCTAGGTACCATGATGACTGGGCGAACATGAAATCCCCGGCCAGAACAGCCACTCTTGTGCCATATAATTGATGAACAGTTTCCTGTCCTGAAGAAGTAAATATGTCAGAGTGTATTATTTTATTCAAACGGAAAGGAGGAAAAGTAAGATAGCAGGCCAATTCTGCAAATGCAACCACGTCTTTTGCCTAAAAAATTGGATCTCGACAAGCACACATTATCTATCAGCTGCATTTTTAATCTTTTAATAAATGGAAAGTGTAATATGAGTAATGACGATTCATGGGATGTTATGTTTGACAGAAAGTAGGAAAAAGCGTACCTCTCCGCATGTCACTTTCGTCTAATACATCATCATGTATCAGACTTGCAGTGTGAATCATCTCAATGATCTCGGCTAACCTTCTATGTTCTTTCCTGAGTTCCCTAAACAATAAGAGCATGCAATTTACAATAATAGCTTATAGACCTAAAAAGTAAGTATAAAGAGTGTATTTGATGATATTACTCACGACAAACCAGTAATCTCTGTCGTGGCTCTTGCAACTAGAAAAACTAAAGCTGGTCTAATCCTTTTCCCACAGGCTCCAAATATTTGCTCGGCAGCAGACATCAAGACAGGATTATCTGAACCAACAATCTGATGGTGGTTTATATCAAGTTAAATTTTAGACTCCAGTTTCAAAAACAATAAATACAGTTGATACACAAATACAGATTTCGTACTTATAATCGAACAACAACTTGGCAAAGTCAACCGTTAACATAATCATAGCTTTTTTTATGGATTAACAATGATAGCAGCAACATCTTCACCACAAGACCATAATTGCTTCCCTTTCAAATATCCGTATATCGACACTGAAACTTTTACGGGTCTTGACTAAGTACATAGGCAGTTTTTTCTCTCCTCAACCCAAAACTATAACCCTGCATCTGTCAATGTCTACGGCCCATGTTAGGACAATACATAGAACGAATGAACTGTTTCACACGCTCACACCACAAAAAATTGAAACTAAAGATCAGTTACTATCAAACCAAAATGGATATCAAAGAGAAAACTCTGTCACAACTCCACCTCGCAATACAGGTAATGAACTGTATCACAGAACATAAAAGCAATAAAACAAGGAAACAAAAAAACTAGAAACTCACAGACTGCAGATTCTTGTTGAGCGTAACTAAATCTTCGGCAACCACTTCAAACAAAGACTAAAGTTTGAAAATGGAGCATACCTTCCTCAGTCTCAGCATTAAATCCAGGACTTGGAGAGGAAGAAGATAACCTCATATCTGCACACAAACACAGTTCTCCAAGAGAAAATTTATGCTAGTTGACCAGTACCACGAGTTTATATCTATAGGCAGACTATACGGACACACATGTTTTAGCAATAGGTGCTCAACAAAGACCAGCTCAACAGCAAAATTACACATAAAGATTGTTGGGCCACCCATAGACAAGAACATATGAACCGGGCTAGAAGACGTTACCAGGTATATCTGCAACCCGAGGCTCCGTACAATGCCCGATCAGACTGCCATGGCATCGTACACCTCATCGTATCCATGTCCCCCATTCCCAATTTTCAATCTCACTGACCATTTTCGACCCTCCGCCAACCCCACAAGGGACACCTCACTCCCGAACCTAACCACCTCACCGAACCTAAACTCGTCGGCAAAATCTCTCAAATACTCAAAAACCTAACCGTGACCAGGAAACCTCCTCGGATCTCTCTCGGGCTTCCCGCTAGCCACGAATGGGTAGGCCCCAAAGCCTATGACCTCCCGGGGCAAGTTCGTCCGCAAAGAGGCGTAGAGACTAGAGTGGATGACTTTTCGGGTCGGATCGAGTCCCATCGGGTCGGCCTCTGTTTCTGGTGTGTAGGCTCAGGTCCCCCCAACCTGGGTTGGCCGCTCGTAGACGACGACGGTGCGACCTTCTTTACGAAGTTCCATGGCGGCAGAGAGGCCAGCGGCAGCGGCGCCGGCACCGATGACGGCGACGGTTCCTGAAACAAGATGAGAAGAGAGTGAGGTCGACGATTGTTTTAATTCGAAAAATAAATTTGTAGGATTGGAATCATAATATATATTTTTAAATTAGATAATTATGTGGGGACTTGAGAATAAATAAAATAAGTACAAGGGGTACGAAGGGTATAATAGGTTTTAACCAGTACAAGAGGTACAAGACAAGGTACAAGGCTATCAAAATTCTTTTTTGCCTTGTACCCTTGAATCCATCGTTGATGTTCATTTTTTAGTCAATCCAACGGTGAAATATAGGGGTACCTGATGATAAGTAGGTACAAAAAGAACCTGACCCTAGAAGGTCCCCAATGAGTATTATAAAAGTTTAGGTCCTGTTTTCTATGCAACACAATTTTTAATGAATAAGTAATATAAAGTTTTTTAATTGTTAGTTAATATTAAGTATAAGGTCCGTTTTGTATTCTCTCGATTGGGAGCGATTTACATTCTCTCATTTCGGAGCAATTGTTCTTGATTCAATGTTACCTTCTTAATTGATTTTGTATCTTCTCAGTCTCTCAATCGTAGTTCCTTTTCCTATCTGTTTCTTCCAAGGAATTTCGGGTTTTAAGGTTTCCGCTATGGGTTCTTCCAGCTACATCGGGCAAGACGATGAATTGTCTCAAAAACTTCAAGGTTTCTCGCTGACAAATAAGAAGGACTTCCTCATAGACCTGGGCAAAGACGACATTAAACTAAGCGCTGACGAATGCCAGCGTAGTCTTTTTGGGAAAGTTATCAGCAACCGAACTACCAGTTGGATTGGGGTGAAAAGAGCCATGACCCACATCTGGAGATTGACTCAACCCATGGAAATCAAAGAATTAGGGACAAACTATTATCAATTCATCCTCCAGGGTAATGAAGATAAAGACCGAGTTGCAAGAGGTACCAACTGGACTTATGAGAACCAATATCTTATCCTATCAGAATGGCAGCGAGGATTATCAATCAACCACTCTAAATTTCAGGAACTGCAACTCTGGGTTCAAGTATTTAACGTGCCTTTGGATTGGTTGAGTACTGATGTAGATCTGAAAGTCGGGAAAATATTCAAGCAAGTTCATAATGTTGTTGTGGTGGGGGCGGGTAGTCATGGAGAGAAAATCATGCGCCTGCTTGTTACAGTGGACTTGAATGAGGCTCTACCTCGATGTGTCTATCTGAGACTGGATGATCAATTAGTTAGTGTGTGCTTCAAATACGAAAAATTAGTGAACATTTGCCTTTACTGTGGCTTCATTGGCCATCTAGATAGAGGTTGCAAAAAAATACTGGAGGACATTAAAACTCACTTTCATAAAGAAGGTCAGTATAGAGCTTGGATGAAAGCACTGGAGTTTCATCAATGGGCTAGAAACCACTCATCAGGCACTGAGAGTCCTCCACGCACTAACACTCCTTCCTCACCCTCACATACAGAATCTCCTATACCTCCTGCAACTAGCCCCAAATCAAACAACAATAAAATCCTCTCTCTCCCAGATTCCCTTTCTCTTCAGAATAAACCAGTCTCAGAACCCCCCACTTCCCATTCCCACCAACCAAACCCCATGACTTCCATTGACCAACCTCAGCATAACTCTAATAGCCCTACTTTGTTTCTGGAAGGAAGCTCCATCATCTTCCAACAGCAAAATCCTAAGGCTATGGAAATTGAACCAGCTCCAGAAATGTCCACATCAGATAAACCTCTCAGCATCTCAGTATCTAATAACTCTAAACTCAAAAGAAGAATGTGGAAAAGATCAGCTTCCAACCTTGGCAGACTTCAGAGGCAGAGTGACATACCTTCATATGTAATCAATAAAGTTATAAAGAGACCAAGGGCAAGCTCAGAAGAATCTATCCAGGAAGACAATGATACCAATCCACACAAGGAAGACAAGAAGAAACAAAAAACAAAGATAGAGTCTTTTCAACAAAACAAGGTGGGGGTGGCCAGCCTCGAATGGCACCCAAGTGATAAATGCTAGCTGCGGTGTGGAATTGTAGAGGGATAGGTGGGCCCTCTACAATTTCCCAAATTCGAGAGTCATGTAGGACTCACCACCCGACTTTTATTTTTCTGCCAGAAACCAAGAAACCATCAGCCTTTGTTAAATCAGTGTCCAAAAAGCTAGGCTTTGATAACAGACATGCTATTGTTGAACCAAATGGGCTCAGTGGAGGATTACTACTATGCTGGTCTATTGATGTCCATATTTCCCAGATTATCAGTCAATCCTTCTATATTGTTGTGGAATACTGTCTGCATAACTCCACCCCTTTCTTGGGGAATATTTTTTTATCTCAGCACCAGTCTTCAAGTAAGACAATCTCAATGGGCATAATTGGAGTTGTCTAGACCTTCCTGGGGTGACTCTTGACATATAATTGGAGACTGGAATGATATATGTCTCAGAGAGGAAAAGCAAGGGGGCCTTACTAGAACAACTTCCAGCATGGCAGTTTTCAACTCCTTCATCAACCATATGGCTATGGAGGAGATCAAAATGACTGGCTACAAATTCACATGGTCAAATAACAAGAACTCAGGCCAAACTAGACAGAGGCTTTGCCTTACTCTACTGGCTAGACAATCACCCTCAAGCAACCATTTCAACATAGTTAGGAGTGCCTCAGATCATTCAATGCTTCTGCTCAGTTTTGGGGACAAGAAAGAAAGAAAAGCAGATTTAACTTTGAAAAAAGATGGCTTTCTCGAGAAGGAATCAAAGAGGTTATCTCTCAAGCTTGGAACACACCCCACTCTGGCACCCCTTTCTTCATGCTCAAAGAGAAGATCAAGACAACCAGACAAGCACTTCTCTTTTGGAGTGCAAATTTCAAAACTGAGAACCAGTCCAACATTGAGCACCTTTCAAAAAAACTGGATTCTCTACTACAAGAGGGATTCCAAGCAAATTGGGATGAGTGGATAGCTACAAAACAAGCTCTGGAATCAGCTCACATATCAGAGGAACTTTACTGGAAGCAGAAAGCCAAACATCAGTGGCTCAAAGAATGTAACACAACTCCAAGTTTTTTCATGCATATACCTAGTGTAGAAGAAGACAAAATGCAGTCACTAGACTGCTCACCTCTCAAAACACCATCTATGACACTCAACAGGAAATTCAGAACCATATTGCCTAATTTTACTCCAACTTGTTCACTTAAGAGGGATCCTGGGGAGGTGACTTTCTACTCCTCCTCATCACTCCTTCAATCACAGATGACATAAAATCTCAGCTTATGCTCCCAGTTTCAGAGGAGAATATCAAGTCAGCCCTTTTCAGCCTTCAGTCAGACAAATCTTCTGGAGAAGATGCTATGACTGCCCTCTTTTACCAATCCTTTTGGGAGATTATAAAACTTGATTTGATCAATGCTATCTCTAGTTTTTTTAATGGGAATGGTATGCTCCTGAAATATTGGAATCATACAATTGTCACTCTCATTCCTAAGTGCCCAAATCCAGAATATGTGGCTTAGTTCAGACCAATTAGCCTTTGCTCTGTGGTTTACAAGATTCTTTCAAAACTTATTTCCCTTAGACTTCATAAATGTTTAGATGTTTGCATCAGTGGCTCTCAGTCTGCTTTTATCAAGGGTAGACAACTTTTGGATAATATGATCATTGGACAAGAAGCTTTTTATTTCCTTAATAGACATAACTCTGGTAAACACTATTTCATGGCATTGAAACTTGATCTAATGAAGGCTTTTGATAGAGTAGAGTGGATCAGTTAAGAAGATTATGTTGCGAATGGGTTTCCACAGTGATTTTGTCCAGTTGATTATGATCGGTATTACTTCTTGTTCATATTCTTTTCAAGATTAATGGTGATGTGAGTGGCTACATACACCCTTATAGGGGTATAAGGCGAGGTGACCCTCTGTCACCCTACCTTTTTATTATAATTTTTGAAGTGTTATCTACCCTTGTTCATCAATCCATTGACTCTGGTACTCTGTCTGGGATGAAACTCTCTAAGAATGGGCCTGCTATCTCCCATCTCTTATTTGCAAACGATTCTTTATTCTTCTGTAAAGCTTTAGTGGATCAGGCTAACTCTCTTCTTACAATTCTAGAGAAATAAAGACTTTTTACAGGTCAAGCTGTCAACTTGAGCAAGTCTTCTGTATTCTTTAGCAGAAATACCCCTGACTAGCTGAAATCTAAATTTGTGTTGTCTTAGCTGAGATCTCTTGCCACATGTCTACTAGATATT